TTCGTCGGCCGTCGTCGTCGTCCTCCGTCCGCCACGCTCCTCCTCTCTCTCTCTCTCTCTCTCTCCAAGGTCTCTCGTCTTTCTCGCAGCGACAGCCTTGCTTGCTCTCGCTAGGCTCGGCTGGATTTTGGTGTTTCGGCCCGAGCCGTCATGGCCGCCTTTGATTGGACGGGCGCCTTGTCGGCCTGCTTGGCCTGCTTGACGGCGTTGCCGAACCCGCCGCGCTTGGCCACCTCGTTCTTGACCAACTGCTCGATGCGGATCTTCTCCTTGTCCTCGGCGCTCATCTCTCTCTCGGCCTTGGCCCGCCTCGCGTCTCCAGAGCCCGTCTTTCTGGCAAACGTGAACCGCTTGCGCGCGGAAAGAGGCCGGCACGCCTCGGCCACGATCCGGTCGCCCACGGCGAGCGTCGACTTCTCGTCGTGCACGAGGTACTTTTTGTGCCGGATGAATGTCTGCACAACGGTGGCAAAGAGAGCAAGGAGAGAGTATGAGGTGCTCCGTTGCCATGCCGCAGGTCGCTCAGCTCAGCCCGCCTTCTGCCAGCGACTCACCTTGAGCAGCGTCGGGTGAACCAGGCGCTTCTCGACCGTCATGGTGACCGTCTTGGCCATGACGCCCGCCTTTGTGACGATGCCGGTGATGGTCTGCTTCATCGTGGCCTGAATACTCTGGTGCAGCGGGGGGCGATCCGAATCGATACGATGGCTAGCCGTGGGAGGTATCGGATAGGGTCCGGGCTCGGTGGGCGCGGCTCGTCGTCGCTGGAGCGGCCGATGCTGTGTCGTCAAGCAGGCCGAGGCGTACGAAGGGGCCAGAAGATGTCGTCGGACGGTGCCGTTTGCTGCCCTTGACGCGTTCTCAGGCCGTTGTTCTGCAGCGAAGCGAGAGCGGTGATGCCGATAGACGGAGGAGCTTTTCCGAAGACTGTGCTCAGAAGGGGATGGTGATGGCTTGAGGATGGCCATCGTGGTCGAGGGGGCGGCCTGGCGCTCGAAGAACCACCCTGAAAAGTTCGCTTACGTAAGGAGTCAGGTCGCACCCACCGCCGGAACTCGGCGGGGCCTGGCCTGGCCAGCCTGGCTCAATTTTTGGGCGCGTGTGGAGAAGGGACCCTGGCCTAGCCCAGCCTGGCCTGCTGGCCTGCTCAGCGACGCTGCCTGGCTCAGCCCGCGTCAAGAGCAGCGGATGGAGGCGACGCTTGGACCTCTCTGCCTGACCAACACCACCACCACCACCATCACATTCCCTCCCTCACCTTAACCCTTCATTCATCTTCAACCTCCCTCCCCTTTGTCTCTAAGCTGCCCTCCATCAGGATGGGCCCGCGTCCCTCGCCGCCATGATCGACGAACTCATCCGCCACTGCATCGAGGAGATTGGCTTCGACGGAGAGGCCGGCACTGGCCTTGACCGCCTGCAGCACTTCATCCACGACTTCCATCAGGCTCAGTCTGAGCGCGAACGCCTCCCGCCCCAGCAGGTCGACGAGTCCTATCGAGCTTTTGTCTTTCGCGCCCTCCTTTCCCACCCGGACGTCCACGTAGGCACCCATGCTGCTGGCGCTGCGTCCCCGGGAGGCGCCGCCAAGAAGCCCGTCGCCAGCAAGGCCGAGCGCGCCGGCAGAGGCATCAAGAAGCAGATCCCAGCCAGCTCCGCGGCTCAGAGCGATCGGGTCGAGCTGATCCCCGACGAGGAGGCACGCAGCACGTCGATTCCGGATCTGCAGCAGAGGCACGGCGACGACCTTCGCCTCGTCCTGTCGGCCGATGTCGTACGCAAGATGCTTGCAGGTTCGGCGGAAAAGATACTTACGCCGTCCAACTACCGATTCCTCCAGCTCGTCTGCCGCTCTCGAGAGGCTGCGGTGGTCAGCACCGACCTCGGCGCCGAGCTCGGAATCGACCAAAAGACAGTCTTCTACATCGCCAAGAAGCTGATTGAAGCCGGCCTGATCGTCAAGCTCAAGGCCCGGCAGACGGGCACTACCGCCAGCTATTTTGTCGCCACCAAGTTCCGCGACCAGTGCCCGCTCTGGCTCTGCCAGCAGGACGACAACATCCATGGCGCCTCGACCTCCATCGCCAGCGCCACAACACGACCTCCCTCGAAGCGGATCAAGGTCGAGGCAGAGAACCAGTCAAAAGCCATCGCCGATCACTTTCTCGGCGTTGACGGCGAGGACGATGCGGATGGCGATGCAGACGACGACGATGATGCTGCCGTGGCTGGCAACGTCGATGGTCCGACCCTGGCTCTGGATGGCCCAGAGCCCGCTGCGGGCTCCAAGCTCTTCGAGACACTCGATGCTGATACCACCATGGTCTGGCTGACCAGCCGCCCCGACCTGGTCCGCCGGCGCCTCTATGCGTTCATGGGCCTCACCTCTGCCAAGGTGGCCCTCCGCAGCCTGCTGCAGCTACGACTCGGCCTAGCAAACAGTCCAAAGCGCGTCCGACGAGCCTTCCAGGCCTTCCTCGAGAGGCTGGTGCTCGACGGCCTGGTTGAGGTCGTCGGCCTGTCGGCCAGCGAGCCGGTCGACGGCGGCCAGTCGCAGTCGCGGTCGCTCAGGCGCGGCTTCAGGCTGACGACCAAGGGCGAGCTCGACATGGAGGCGCTGGCCGCCAGCGACACCCTCCTCGACGCTCGGTATGCGGAACGCGAGCAGCGCCAGAAGTCTGACAAGGGTCTGCTCGAACGCGAGCTGCGCATGCAAGACATCCGCGTTGCTCGGGAGCTCACGTTCGAGCGTCAGGCTCATGAGCTGGTCGCCAGGGCCGGCGCGAGCGGCATCACGTTGCGGCAGATGCAGAACGCCTTCAACGTGTCCGGGCTGATCAAGAGGACGCTCGAGATGCTCGTGCTGCGCTCGGAAGAGGCGAACAAAGACGCCTCGGTCGCAGACATGCGCATCCGCCAGTTCCATGAATTCCTCGGCCGGGAGCGACGGCTGCGACTGTATAGCCAGCACGCGTGGACGCTCCAGTCTGCGAGCGATGGCTACATGGCCGACGAGGATGCCGCGATCCTGGCGTCCGCTGGCGGGTTCCCCGACATCGAAGACGGCGCCTTCTACACCGACGGCGACGACGCGATCGCCAAGACTCGCGGGATCGTTTCTGAGGCGTTTGTCGACAATGGCAGAGGGGGTTCTGCGTCGATGAAGGGCGGCGACGGCGGCGACGAGGACGGGAACGGAGGTCTCGAATCGACGCTGAGGAAGAAGCCGACGGGCAGGCCCAAGGGAAGGCTCAACAACAAGACGATCGAAAGGATGAAGAGGGCGGAAGCGCTGGCCAAGAGCAGAGCCTCTGGATCGGCCGAGACGACACCCAGCGGAGACTCGGAGTCGGCTGCGACCGCTGCGACCGCAGACGGCGGCTTCGTGGCGATGCAAGAGCCCTCGACGCCGGCTGAGAGTGCCGCCAAACGGCGCAAGCTCCAAAGCATCGTCGCCGAAACGCAGCCCCAGGCAATCGACGCACCTCCTCCCGTCATGCGCGAGGCGAGCGCCGCGGCGACGGTCGACGACCTCGACGCCACCGGCGGTGATGCATCCAGTACGACGACACAGGCTGGCGTTGCGCAGACCGGAATCGCCTCCCCGCCTGCCGCGGCGCCGCCTTCGCCCTCCTCGACGCCCGTTCCGGCAACGACGCCGTCCAAGCCGTCGAACGGAGCGCCTTACACACCGCAAGTCGGCGCGGCGGCCAAGCAGGAGCGGATGACTTCGGAGAAGAAGCCAAAATCGAGCGTCACAGAGCTGCGGAGCGCCATCGCCCTCGTCGAGTGCATCGAAGAGCTGGGCGGCGCTCTCGATACGCTTCTGGTGCCGCAGGCGCTCGACGCCTTTGTCGAGAGGAATCGCGACCGCTACAGCTCGCAGGTGCTCAATCTGCGCGAGAAGCGAAAGCGTGACAAGGCCATCGCAAAGGCGGTCGACAAAGGAACGCTGAAGAAGACATTCGTCAAGGTGCGCAAGCCGGGCGATCACGCTCAGCGGACCATCGTCTACGTGCCGAGCATCGATCCGGCTCGCCTGCAAAGGTACTGCGACGCCGTGGTGAACGGCGAAGAGGGCTGGTCGCGCGCCACAGACACCGTCTCGATCCTCCATCTGCGCTCAGGACAAGTGCATCTGCCAGCCGAGGACATCACGAGCCTGTCGATCCGACGACCCTGGCAAGACAGCACCACGCTCGACGTGAGCAGCTTCGAGGCCGACCCGCACCTCGCCGAGCGGATGCGTGCGCCCTTCCTGGCCCAGGACATGCCGGTCAAGCAGTTCCTCGGCCATGCTTCAGGTCCCGTCGCCCGCCTCGTGCTCTTCCACCTGTCCGGCATCGACGCCATCAACGCCAACGTGTCGTCCAAGGTGCAGCGAGATCCGCGGCCCAGCATCGATATCTCGTACTTCTGGACCGAGGCTTCGCTGGAGCTCTTCCTAGCTCTCTGCGGACTGCGCTATTACAGCCCCAGCCTCGAAGCAGCCTACCAGGACCCAGCGACGAGGTACCAGGCCGTCTGTGAGCTGCCGTCGGACGTAAAGGAGGCCATCGGTCTGCCCAGCGCCCTGGATGCGGCTCCTCCGCCCGAGATCCAGACGGCCATCTACAGCTTGGCCGCCCAGCTCCAGTCGATGGGAGTCCTCGAGGCAGTCCCGGATGCAGACACGGACGACTCGGCCCGCACCCTCACTCTGCCCTGCACCCGCTTCGAGCTCAGGGACCGCGTGCCCATCTACAACTGGAAGGCGAAAGGCAGCACGAAGCCAGTGCTTTCGGTCGCCAGTGTCGGCGCATCGATCGATCGTGCGCGAGCCTTTTGGCAGAACACCGCACTGATCTGCAGCAAGAGGATCCGCGCCACGTCCAGTGCAGCACAGCCCGAGTCGGGCTTCCAAGCGGCCAACGTCTCCCGAGGCGTCCAGCCAGACCTGCTCAAGACCAAGGCCTGGCGCATGGGCCACACGATCAGGCCCGTGCAGAGAAGGTTCCTGCTGCGCTTCCTCCGGGCGGGGGAGCCGCTGCCATCCGACAAGGCCGTCCAGCTGGCCTCTTGGATCAGCCTCGTGCCCGCCGACGCCGTCAAGCGCTTCTGGACCTTGGCGCTCGCCGACCTCGGCGGAAGAGGCGGCGAGGTTGCGGCTCGAAAGCGCCACATGGGCTGGTCCCTCGACATCCAAGGTCTGCAGATCGCAGACATCGAGGCGCGGGAGATGAGGCGCCTCCGGGACCGGGACCGCGAGGGCCGCAAAACGACGCTGCGGAAGGCGAGAGAGCTGCGGGACAAGAGGGTGAGGAGCTTTGAGCAGTGGCTGACCGACGCGTTCCAGTCGATGCCGGCTGCAGAGGCGTACCGGAACAGGATCGAGTGGGCCCTCCGACAAATTCGGAAGCGGTACATCGAGTCTCACCCCGGTTTCGACGCCGGAGACGCCCGCCGCGCGATCGAGAGAGGTGTCGCCATCGCCAGCGGGGTGGGCGTTAGGCTGTCCAGCATCCGGCGTCCGCCAGCAGACAACGACGGCGACGACGCCCAGGTGGAGGACGAAGGTGCTGCTGGTGGTTCTCAGGGCGGCGTTCCCAGGCCTCGCAGGCCTCGCAACCCGGCAAAGGCGAGGCGGCGAAAGAAGGGTGCCGAGGGTCGCAAGGAGCAGACGTCGCGCAGAAGCACCACCTCGGCCAATTACTGGACCCCGCAGAGGAACGAGCTGCTGCGTGACGCCGCCGTCATCCTGCAAGCTCGCGATCGCGCCCGAGGCCGCAGCGACTGGAGCGCCCTGGCCCAGATCTGGGACGAGGAAGATCGGTCCAAGAACCAGAACTTCGTCTCTCGACAGTGGAAGCTGCAGCTCGGGCGGATGCGCGGCGAGTTTGGCGAGGAAGGCTACCTGAGCGCCCTGGAGCGTCAGTGGACTGCCGTCAGCCGTGAGGCTCGATCCAAGGGCGAGCTGGCCGACCCGGCCTTCCCTTCCGCCACCGACTTCGACCTGAAGCAGCACATCGAGTTCCTGCGGGCTAGGATCGACAAAGACGCCATCTTTGCATCGCTCGAGAAGCCCTCGCAGATCAACCCGCTGCCCCTCGACCTCGCCAAGCACGACTTCACCCAGGGCTGGAAGGACGAGTTCCGCTACGTGCCGCCCGAGACCAAGTGGGAAGACTTTCACAACCAGGAGAGCGGTCACAACCATCGCCGCCAAGGCATGCTGCTCGGCAATGCGCTCGTGCTGGAGCCGACTTCGAACGACGTCCCCGCGCGGCAGAGGCCGACGGAGCCAGTGGCAGCGGAAGGCGCCGAAGCTCAGCTGCGAGCGCAGATGGCCGAGGCCGCCGTCAGGATCGTGATCCTCTCGGACGACCGCCGCTGCTCGGCCACGGACAAGGCCGAGTTCTGCCGGCGGTTCGGCGAGGACGAGATCGAGGCGGCCGTCGTCAGGCTGCTCGAGACCAGGGTCATCCGACCCACCACGGCCGAAGTCACGCAGAGGAGGCAACCAGGCACCAACTTTGCCCTGACCGACGACTTCTTTGTGCAACCCCAAGACCACCGCCTGCACCGCTCCGACGAGATCGGTCTGCGACACACTCTGGCTCGGCTCGATGGCAAGCTGGAGCAGTCGATGTCGGCGCCGCTGTTCGTGGAGCCGGTCGAGACAGACGGCGAAGCGGCCTGCCTGGGCACGATGCTGAGCAACAATCTGATGACGGCCGACATCGACGTGGCGCCCTTCGCCGACCTGCGCGGACACCACGCCTTCAACGCGCGCGTGCTCAACGACGACGAGATCGAGACGGTGCTCTCGATTAGCATCACTGCCGCAGGCCTCGAGCAGGGCAGGAGCGCGACCGTCAAGATGCCGTCGCCACCTGCGGCAACGAACGGCAGGATCGCGAACGACGAACTGGCGGAGGCCGAATCGTGGCTGGAGGTGTTTACCATCGCGGCAGATGAGGACCTCGAGGCCTTGCAGGAGGTCAAGCACCTGCTGGATGCAGCGGGACCCGAAGGCGTCGAGCTGGGCAAATGCCTCGCCATCCTCCGACCGGCCTGCCTCGCCTGGCTCCTAAATCGGGGTCGCGCTCCCGCCTTTGTCGCTGGCCACTCGCACGTCCGACTGGTGTCGGCTCAGCACATCCGCCTCTACACTTTGCCCAGGCTCACCACTGGCAGCACCAGTAACGACAACAGCGGCGACGAGTCGCTCCGGCAGCCGGCGCGACTCTGGCTCGACATCCACGGCAACGTCCTCGAGGACAAGTGGCGTCGACTGGTTGAGCTGCTGGCACAGGCGTGCGTACAGCGGCCGGGCATCTCGCTCGACACGCTGTGCGCCAAGTTCAGGTCGAGCTGCACCGCCGTCGAGGTGTTTGAGGCCGTCCAGGCGCTCGAGAACACGCAGCGCTTCGAGACGAGGTGGGTGCACGTCGACGAGGTCGGGGTCGCTGTGGCGTCAGTCCACCCGCGTGGCGGCATCTGGGCGGGCTTCGAGGACGACGACGACGAGGCAAACTAGGCGCAGGAAGACGCAGAGCGGCCCAGCACAGGCCAGATCCCTGACGTCCAACCAGTCCAGCCGTCACCATCAACACGACAACGCACGGCGCGACGCCATGCGACTCCATGCGATGCGATGCGATCAAGGGCCATCATCTGCTTTTACCGAGGGCCAAGGGCCGACATTGCGATTGTACTCTAGGCACCAGCTCGACTGCACGCCACCCGGGCCCAGCTCCATTCTGCTTGCAACCCGTGCTTTGCCCGCGCAAGCCCCTCACGAACGAGATGCGGCCTCACGTTCCAGCCTGCTGCGTTCCTCGGCGAGCGAGAGCTCGATGGCGAATCGAAGGTCGTCGTCCATGTCGTCGCCGCCTGCTGCGTCTGCCAAAGGGGTGCCTCCACGTGCCCCGCTACCAGCGCGCTGTCCTTCTGCAAACTCGCACGAGGAGGTCGGGGCTGGGCTTGTGCCACGACGACCGAGTTGGGCGGCGAGCAGACTCTCTGTTGGCGGTTGGGGCCGATGTCGCGGCCCCAGACTGGGGCTACCGCTGGCCCAGGCGCCGAGGTTGTGCATCTTCTTGGCCGGCTTCGAAGATGTCTCACCGCCAGCTTCGGCATTGACCTCGGACGAAGGTGAAGATGCAGCAGCCAGGTTCCAAGGTCCGCCAAACTTGGAAGGTGTGTTTGACGGCGAAGCGCCACGGAACGACGAGGCGGCCGAGCTCAGACTCTGTCCGTACCTCTGGCTCAGGGGGGAGTGGGCCGAGTTGAGGGGCGGAGACATGGTCGGCCAGTCTTCGGGTTGGCCGCCCCGCATCGCCATGGCCGAGCTGGTGGGCGACAACGACGTGCCAGCGATACGCGCGGGGCGCGGGACGTTGATGGTGCGGATCTTGGACTCCGGATGCGACCGATCCAGCGCGTTTGAGCGCGTCGACGGCCCGGCCTGGCCCAGGATCGTCCAGGCGCGCGAGGGAGATCCAATCCCGGCCAGGTGCGGAGAGGCGTGCGGAGACGGTGATGGCGATGCAGAGGCGCGGAGGTAGTAGCCTTCGGCGCCGTGGGCGTCGGCATCGGCGGCGACGGAGTCTTCGTCGTCCATGTCGAGGTCATCGGGCGCGAAGCGGTCGTCGAGCGACCAAGAGCGGTCCGAAGAGCAACGAGAAGGCGCGCCGCTCTGCTGCCGGCTCTCCGCCAGGGCGATCTGCTCGAGGGCATCGGCCAGCTCCGGATCGTCGGCCGGGGCCAGACCCGGGCTCCGCATCGGCGCCTTGCTCGACGACGCCTGTGTGCTGGGACCAGCTCGGGCCGAAGAGGCAGGGGCGACGAGCTGGCTCGCCGCTCTGGCCTTGGCCTCCTCCTCGTCCTTGCTGAGCATCATGGCGTACTCGAACGCCTCCTGCTCGGTCATGTCGCCTAGACCATGGTCGGTGACGGTGTCCCTGCGCCGACTGTGCCGCGCCTGTCGCTCCTCGCGCTCAGCCTGTAGCTGCGCCTGGCTCTCGCGGAGATCTCGCCGCATGTCGACCTGCATCTGGAACTTGGAGTCGGCCGTGCGGCTCGATGACCTGGCCGTCTTCTTGGCCGCAGCAGCCGCCATCCTCTTGTCCTTTGCACGCTGCAGCGGCTCAGCACGGAAGGCAAGGACCTGGTGCCCGATGGCGGCGATCAGCGTATCGTGGTCGGCGACGATCTGCTGCACCCGGAAACGTGCCGCTTCGTCGTCGGTCAGCTCGCCGGCGGCCAGCATGCGGGCCGGGTGTCGAGTCGCGGTGCGGTCGTTGATGGTGCGGATCAAATCGCCCGAGAGGGCGCAAAACGCCTTGATCGTGCCGTCCGACGTGCCGGCGATCAGATGCAGCGAGGTCACTTCGAGCGACGTGATGGTGGTGTGATGGGCTTCGATGCTCAGCGCGGGCGAAAGCTGCCTGCTACCCGTGAAGCGGGCGGGTCGCAGCCCTTGCCACTCTTCCTGGGCCACCGCGTCGAAGTCTGCGCCCTCGGACTCCCAGTCGAAAACGTGGACGGTGCCGGCCTTGGTGCCCACGCACACGTACTTCTTCTCCGGGTACTGCCCGGCGCCAAAGACGTCAAAGGGCGAAGGGCCGATGTTGAGGCGCGGCACGTTGGCGCTGGAATCGCTGCGCGACGGCGTCAGCATCGGCGACGCAGCGGTGGATACCCGCGGACTGGGAGCGACCGACGCCTTGCGATCGAGCGGGGACCGGGGTTCAAAGTCTGGCTTGATGGCGGTGATCTCGCTCAGCACCGGAGCACCCAGAATCGTGGTCATAACCTCGGGCCGATCGATGCTGCCAGCGGCGGCATCTTCGTCGACCTCGGAGTGGCCGACGCGATGCCGAAGGAGACATCGTGCGCCCGAATGGTGCGCCAGGATCGAGAAGGGCTTTGGCGTCCTCTGAGCATCTGCAGAGCCGTGGTGGTCGGCGTCGATCCGGACAAAGTCGAGCGATGTCTCTGCACCGGAACCTGCTGCCAGATGGATTGTGACGCTCCGCACAGCGCCGACGAGTTCGACGATCCGCCGCTGCGCCTCGAGCAGGTCTTCGTCCACGTCTGCTTCGGAGAGCTGCGCAGGGTCGCTGGCGTCGGCGCGGATAGCAAGCAGGCCTGCGATGTCCAGGCCGTGCCAAGCAACGACCTTGCCGCTCGCGTTGCCGGCAACGATGATGCCGGCGCGTGCGTCGTAGTCCAGAGCAGAGATAGGGACTGCGGCCGCGGTGCCGGGCGCAGCAGAGACGTCGACCGTCTGCCCAGCGTTGGGAGGCGCCGTGCGGGAAGCTGTTGAGGCTACCCAGATTGGCAAGGGCCGTAAAGAGCTCCACAGCCGGACGGTGCCGTCGTGGCCGGCGGTGACAAAGGTGGTGGCGACGTCGCCCATGGCGCCGAGCTGCTGACGGAGCCTCTCGGGGCTCCTTCCAGGACCGTGGACACCGTCTCGGCTACTGGCAAAGGGTACGGCGACCGCCGAGACCGGCCCGGCGTGGCTGCCACGCGGAGAGAATTGGTGACTCCGGATGGCGCCTCGCGGGTTGATGCCCTGGCGGGTCAGGGTGGTGAGGCCTACCTCGCCAGAGCGGAAACCCCATGCCACGCTGCTGGCATCTGCGCCCATGGCCAGGGCGGTCACATTGGGGCTGAACTCGATGTTCGGATTGCCGTTGCCGGCTCCGTTTGCGGTGCCCTCGGCATCGAGGTATCCTTTCGTCACCTTTCCAGTGAAAGGGTTGGATCGCGATGCGACACCGTACACCTGCGAGGCCGAAAGCATGAAGGTGTGCTGCTTGGACACCGAGATTTGGTGGATGATGTCCACTCGCGGCGTCGATAGCACGGTCGGGGCTCGAGACTTGCGCCAACGCCTTCAGAGATGGGTACGAAGGAAGAGAGAGAGAGGAAGAAGGAACGACCCTGCTCAGCGCGCGTGCGCCGCGAATGGGAGCGAGGCTACCCGGCACTCACCTCAAGAGCTCCGAACGCCGCTGAAACTCGCTGCGCCAAGAAGCATTCGTAAGGCGACGGAGAGACGGCACGGCCTGAGAGCTTGTGGCGATGACAGCGGAGTTCGAGTGCAACCCAACCGCTTCAAGGTTGAAGTGAGTGGCGAACGCGGCCCGCCAGGTGGCGTCGTCGCGGGCTACCGATGCCCAAGACCGGCAGACGGCTGCGGCGACGCCGAGCGAGTGCGGATCGAGATATGAGCATATCTTCATCAAGATCTCCGGAGCGATGAGCGATGCGTCCAGCTGGGGCACCTCGGCTCGCTCAGCCTCTTCGACAAAGGAAAGCGCGTGTTCAGGATCGGTCAGTCGGACTACGGACCCCTCGACCGAGCTAAGCGCGCGGCTTTGGGCGTCACCGCGCGGGTTGGCGTCGATTTCGCCGCAATGAGTGCCCAGTACTTGGGAGCTTCGGCTCTGCTCTCGTGGAGAGGCCGGATCGGAATAGTGCGAGAGATGCTGGTCATCTTGGGAGGCGGAGGCGGCGGCGGTGGCTGGTGGGGCTTGTTGGAGAGATTGCTGGTTCGATTGTCGGAAGAAAGCTTCTAGGGACATAAAAGGGTGGGTGGTGAGGTGAGAAGAGAGTGCTTCGGAGGATGGCTCGTACTGTTGGATGAGCCAGGCTGAAGTCGCGATCTCAGATTCGAGGGCGGCGGGTGATTGCGGGGTGGCAACAGTCGGCTCTAAGGGGTCGTCGCGAAGTCCGCTGCTGGATACTCGCGGCAAGGGGGAGTCGTGTGTTGCGTCAAGCGATGGCTTTTGAAGCGTACGTGGCAGGCTGTCTGCCAGAAGCTGGATGAAGAAGGTGGCGAGAGAGGGTGGTTGGGTGATGGTGGTGGCCGTCGTGATAGCCGTCGAGACCCTTTCGGCTTGGCCCGTGGCTCAGCGGGTCGGCCCGGCTGTGCGCCGTCGGCTCTCGGGCCAGCTCCATCGCCTCGACCCCATCCCCGGAACTCGGCAGAGAATCGAGTCCGCACAGCGGGTCGCGTTTGTCGCCAATCGGGGTCGCTTGCCCGATATCCCATCGCAACCAGGTCTTGCTGCCGCCTCAACGAAGCCTCCTCGGAGCAGTCTCCATTCTGTTGCGCTCTGGCTCGGATTCAGAGGCTACAGATGGTGGTGGGAGCGCATGGCAGGTGCGACTTGAATGACTTTGCGCCTCGCCGGCACATGGCACGCTGGAGCTACCTCTTTCGTCGATAAAGGGATCGTCTTCGCGCCAGATGGGAACCGTCAGCGGGCGAGCGTCAATGAGAAGGAGACATCCTGCTCCGAGCGCTGTGGCTCTCATCCAGAGATGCCAAGTGGCAAAGAGCGATGGAACGATATCCGAGAGAATGATTTGCCGAAGCGGCACGCCTTCGCCAACGGCCCGCCGCCTCGTTGGCGAGCGCAGTGATACGCCCTCGAGAGCGTTGTGGTGGACCGATAGCATGGGTGGCGCGACAAGGCTAAAGGGGCGTCCGCAGTGAAGCGTCGCCGCCGCCAACGATGTATGTCGATCCGTCGGCCGAAGTTGAATCACGTGGAAAGGCTGCCATTTTTAATTTTTCGGCTCCGAGTGAAAGCACCAATGTCCAGGCACGCCAGGCCTCGGCAGCCGGGCTACCCATCAGCCGCTTGCGAAGGATGCGAAGGTGGCGAGCGGTGGGGTCGGGCTGACTCTGGGAACCAGGCGGGGAGGGGAGCAGGCAGGCAGGCAGGCATAGGGGAGCTGGGCGGCTGTGTGGCAGGGCCGGGGCCGCTGTTGGCGGGTGTACCGCCGCCGCCCGCCTCTTGGACACCATCAGCTCCACCTCGTCAAGACCCATCGCTCCCTCACCCGTTGATCACCCACCCCTCAGCACCTTCTAGCTACAATGTCGGCGGCTTCGTCTCAGGAACTTCAGTGGCTCCTCACCAGGAAGACCTCTTCCTACATCGTCAAGCAGAAGGGTCTCCCTCGCTTCTTCACCCGCGAGCCCCTCAACCTGAAGCAGATCCACAGCCCCAAGGTAAGGATCCGACCGACAGCACCAGATCCGACACTTTCGACCAGAAGCGCGACGCTCCGGAATCGCTACATCTGGTCCATGACGACTGTTCCAGCATCGATTGCATCCGACTACGAAACCTTCGAGGGAATGCAGCGGTTGGAAGGGCTGGTGGATAGGATGAGAGGAGACGGATCGATGGAACGGCCGAAGACCAGGGGCAACGGACGAAACGAGACGGCGAGATGCTGCGAGTCTCGCATCTCGCTCTCGTATTGTGGGAGCTAGCAGGCGCCTTATCGAAGGCGCCTCCATTGGAAGTTCGCAGGGCCGGTCAAAGGCGAGCGCTGCCTTCGAGGGAACCGAGGGGAAATATGGAAGATCAGGCGGAGGTCGGAACGGCGATATGACGGTCTCGCAGCCGGTGAAGGCTCCTTTGCACGGCGGCCGGAGGAGCACAGCAGCTTCCACACTCGACTTCAGCCCCAGCCGACATCTTCCGACATCTAGACCGATTTCCCTGTCCAGCGACGAAGCGGACGCTGACGATGTCATCGTCCCCCGACCTCCCCTCTTCCGCGTCGCCTTCCCTTTGCACCCTCAGCACTCCGGCAACGTCTGCAAGAAGGCTGTCGGCATCGCCCCCGCCGCCAACGGCAAGGGTGTCGTCGTCACCACCAAGAAGACCAAGGCTTCCCCCTTCTCGGTCAAGGGCTCGCGGGCCTCGACCACCATGTGAGTCGGCCCTCTACCGTGCAGCTCTGTCCGACAGCCGGCGAAACCGAGGGCTGACGTCTCCTTTGCCTTGTCGCCTCGTCTTGCCGAAACAGCAAGGGCACTGGTAACCGCCGTGTCTCTGGTGCCGTTGCCAACATCGTTGGCAAGCGCGGCTACCGCAACGACCTCGCCAAGCGTGAGTACCCAAGCCCGAGTTGTGGACTCGGTGGAACGGTCTCCAGAGTCGCCTTTGGAGGAGATGGACGCCCAAGGGCAAGCGGACGACCATCGAGCGTGGCCAGTAGAGCCGCGCGGCCGCCATCGACACGAGCGGTGCAGGAAGCACTCCCCATCGCCCCTCTCCGGACACCAAACCTCTATGCATCGCCTAGAACCCGCCGGAAACATACCCATGATGGTCTGGGCGTAGAAACGATGCGAGATCGAACCCTGGACACCAACGACCGCAGCGTACACATGGGGTCGACGCGGACGATCTCGATCACCTCTACCGCGTCGACCTTGTCGCAAGAGCGGCCCATGTCCGGACATCCCGTCCTTCCACCTCGAAGATATGCGGGGCTCAGAAGGAGATCCGAGGAGGACACGTCGATATGGGGCGGTGGCGGTCGGGAACGAGGACGTCGTGCCTATCGATTTGCGAAAGGCCCAGCTGGTCCGTTCTACCTTGGACAACCGCCGAGTCGCTGACACCCTGATCCTGCCCTGCTCCTTTGATCCGATAGTCGCTGTTGCCCGCGCCTCGGCCATCCTCCTTGCCCAGCGCGGCAGCCGCAAGGCTCCCCTCCCCAAGAAGGTCCGTGGCACCGGTGCCAACAAGGTCCTCATTGAGAAGTCCGACGAGTAAACGTCTCGGTCCACGCCCTGTTCTCCACCACTACATGACGTGATCGAAATCGCAAGCTACTCTCTCCGGTCCTCTCCTTCGGTTCCTTTTCGTTGCTCGGCTCGACTCGCTCGCACCGCACCGCACACACGCACGCACACACACACACACCCATCTGGACTGCGCGGGTCCACACACGAGGTCATTGCCAGTATGACTCTATGTATGCATATGACGGCCGCCTCTAGGCGGTTGGCAGAAGACGCAAACCCCCCAAAAGCTTTTGGCAGCGAGGCACCAAGCTATCCGCCAGCAGAGATACCGACGTCTGATCACTGGGAGGACCGTGCGTTGCGAGGGCGTGGGTGGCGGGTTAGCGAGGCGGTCCGTGCTGCTCAGTCGGTCAATGGTTGAGCGGACCGGAGCCGGCGGCGCCTGATAGATGCAGCTGCGTCGCAGCCAGGCGGACCCGAGAGCTCCGATACCAGACCGGGGCTTGCGATTGCGGCTCCGGATCGTGTTGTTCTCCAGCATGGGACCGACCTCGCGGCAAATGGCCGCTGCCTGCCTCGCCCCTGGAACGTGTCATCGGCTACGGTACGACACGAAGCAGGGTCAAGGGTCGAGGTTGATCGCTGCTGATGAGGGTCGCACCAGCTCTGGAATGGTGAACGCTCCCGATGCTCGTTGCGACACATACCGAAGTCGGTCGCGTTCCTATGATCGACGGGAGGAACGTGGCGGCGAAGGGCGAGGCACGGCCGGCTGGTCTGTGTAGGTGCCGATTCCGCAGCACAGATCCATGAGGAGCAGGTAGGGGGAGAAGTTGGGGATATCCCGAAAGATCGGCGCTCGTGCAACGCGGCATGGAGGATTCGGAACGCCTACCTTCGAGGCAAGGAGATGAAAGGGCGAGACCTAGGGCGCTGCGGGATGTGGCGGTCTCGGCGGCGGAGAAAGAGTGAACCCTTGCCATCCCCGCTGCGGTCGGTCTTCTGCATCGAAGGAGCGAGGAGATCAGACTGGGTCCTTGGGTTGGTCGAATGCCAGCCCCCGCCTCGGATGACAGGTTCGGGTCAGGCAGGCAGAATCGAGGGCTGCCAACCGACCGTGCCTGCGGTCAGCATTCCACAGCGAGCGAGACTCGGAGCACCCACGCTAGCCGGTCGGGACGCCATCTTTCGAGGAACGCACGCCCTGCTGTGGCCTACCTGTGCCCCTGCCGATGGGCCGTGGCCGTCCAATCAAGAAGCAGTGAGTCCGCCACTGTCTGAGCCGGGACGTTTCAAGCCCATCGCAACGCAAGCCAGGCTATACGATTGCAGAGGCTACCGGTACTCGCCGTGCCTAGTCTCCGCCGATCGATCTCCATCAGCCCGCCCATGAAGGAGCCTAGTCGGCGAAAGGCGATACCGTCGTACGAGTCTTCAGTGGTGACACAGCCCTCGCCATCGTGGTCCTCGCAGTCAAAACAAAGGCGCCACCAGTTGCGCAGTCGGATGAACACCGCGACCAGGCCTGGTCCGATCCGTGGGTGGGCCCGGCCTACGGCACCCTACGGGCCAGCCATCGACTCCTGCGCTGCACCGTTGTCCTGACCGAGGGGCGAGCATCGGGAGCTTGAGCTGTAAGGGTCAGCGCACGGCCTGCATTGTAGGCCTACTGCGCTGCGCTGTGCTGCGATGCGATGCGATGCGATGCCACTGCAGCCACTTGCTTGAGCTTTGCCTGCCACGCCGGCCCCAAACGCACGGAGTCAGGGGCTGGCAACTCTCGATCGGCCGGCTGGCTTGCCCCCAAAGCTGCTTCTTCCAAGCGGCCCCGTTGAGAAAAAAGATCGTCGAAATTCAGACGAAAATCATCACCTTGTCGATGCCGGTCTAACGCTCCGGACTGCCCCTCCCCGACCAGTGGGGTGATCCAAGCAGGCACGGCCTCCAGCATTCCTCAGGTGACTCTGAGCGAAACAAGGGTTAAAAGCGGTCTAGACACGCTTATACCAGCCGAGTCGTGGTCTGTAGATCGGACCGAACGAACCACCCTGCCAGGGAGAGCTACTGTTCTGAACTGTACTTACCGGCGACCAGCTGATGCGCCGCTGCGGGTCTTCAGGGAGGCTTGCTGCCTGCAAGCCATTTGCGATGCGCCGGGCCAGCAGAAGGCTAGGCGGCTGGCCTGGGGACTCACTCCTCGGTCGCAAGCGGATCAGCAACAGCAAAGCCTCGACTTTCGGGTGCAGCATCAGCTCCAGCATCGTTCCTATCTGCGAGCCAGGTCATTCGAGGTCGCTCAGACGCACCGAATGCTCGGAACGCCCGACCTGGAACAAGAATCGAGAAGAAAGAAGGATCGACAGCAGAAGACGTTGGTGTAGGCTCCATGTCCAGCACCACCAGCGGCATCCGCGGGCGGGAGGATGACCTGGCGGAGACGGCGTACGACCGTGCGAGTACTGTACCACTTGTGAACGGACTGCCGGGCAGGGACGCCGGGTGATCAAGGAATGACTTGGCTGGGCGGACATGTGCCTTCCCGGTCGACGCGCTGGCAGGCTAGGGTCAGAGCGGGGGGAGCGAGGCACGCACCTGCACGGTTTCCGAGGTTGCCGCGCCAACGTACTGCAGGCAACGCAAGCGCGGCCGAAGGATGCGGAGCGAACGGTCAGGGGAGGCCTTTGACAGCTGAGCCTGCAGCATCACAGGATGCAGCGAAGCAAAGACGCACGCACAGCGGTGCGGGGGTTGCTGCGGATGCAAGACGCGAGGGGCGTGGAAAGGGAACCCCCCATCGAGGCAGGACCACGAATCGCCGGGTCGACAACAAGCAAGCATATCACAACCCGATCGCCAGCCAGATGTGCCCCTGCCTGTGAAGCATACTGTAGCCTGGCAATCGCTGATTGGGCAGGAGAGTAATGGCGGAAGTGCGCAAGCCGGAGACTGTCAACACGATGGAGAGACATAGTCGAGGGAGCGGGCGATCTGGCCGATAGGGCCTAGGCTGGGATGACCATGACCCGGCTGTGACTGCTACTGTGTGGCGGCGTACAGAGGGCCCTGGAACGTGCATGCCTTGTTGAGATCATCCTGCAGGCATCAAAGCTCTCTAGGCCGTGCGAGGCGTGGTCAGTCACAGGCTAAGTCGGGTGGCGACCGTATGTGGAACGCAGGGAGGCTGGCTGGCCACTGTAGGATGGCCGCCATGCCTGCACGCCGGTGGAATCGGAATCAGGCTAGGGCCCTTGCTTGGCTTGACGCAGAGGCAGCGTGGTGGTGCGGTGATGGAGCGCAGGCAGGCTGGGCTCAGCAGCTTGCGTACCAAAGCGGTGGCTGTGGCTGCCATTCCGCACCGCACCAAGCGATGCTCGCGCCGGGGGGGGAAGTGCCGCTTTCGCCAACCGAGCCCCCGACACTCTGCACTCTTTGGCAGCTGCACAACACCCGCTCACTGTCCGCCCGTACCGAGCCCGACATGTAGGGAGTCGTCGCATCAAAGGCCGCTCGCACGTATGTACGTTTGCCTCTATCCCTCCCCCGCGCGTCGTCGATGCCTTGCTGCTCACCGGCGGTGGCCGCCTCCGCATCGCTCAGATCATCGTGGCTCGACCTGGCAGCGCCTAGCAGTGCGTTCCAGCCGCGCCTCCGCAGACGCTGACCCACTGGTTGGGACTGGTCCCTCGCTCCCCTGCCTGACTCCCGACCCGCTGGTCCTACCGATGTGTCAAAACTTTGTGCGCGCCCCGCGCCCCCTGACAATCGTCCTACCGTGGCCACGACACCTGCATGAGCGCGCGGAGGGGACACACCAACACCTCGAATGACCGGCCGACCAACGAACGCCCGCCCGAATGGCGCAGCGCTGGCCGTATTGTGCCGCACCCTGGCCAGGCCGCTGAGCAGCGCACTGACTGTTGTTGTTTCTCCATGCTCGACCTGGCAGAGCACACCACAGGCGCAGTGCCTACCGTCTAGGTGTTTGGATCGCCGCACTGAGGCGGAGAGGATCCCAACAACGGCGGAGCGCAGCGTCGCCCTCGCACCTGTCCCGGTCCAGCGCTGGCCTCGCCCCTGCTTCGCCGTACCAACGAGCGTTTGCCTGGCCACCGCCGCCTACCCATCCTTTGGGGCCTCGAAAGGTATAAGAGACCCGACCTGGCCGTCTCTCTAACCACTTTCCTCATCACTCATCCACTCTTCTCTCTCACTCCACTCTCCACTTCTTCTCTCTCTTCACACTCTCTACGGCTTTCGCCTTCCAATCCCCAAACCCCCAACCCACTCTAGCAAAAATGCAGTTCTCCACCATCTTCCTTACCCTCGCCGCCGTCGCTGGCTTCGTCGCTGCCAACCCCACTGGCCAGAAGAACGGCAACTGCGCCACCGGCCAGCTCCAGTGCTGCTCGCAGGTTGTGAGTACCGCCATCGGGCAGCGATCAGCTTCTCACTGAGACCCTTTCAGCTACATGGCTCTGACCGACGAGCTCGCTACCCTTCCGCTTCTCTTGCACCCAACAGACCCAGGGCAAGGAGGCCGAGGAGGCCCTTGCCGGCCTTGGTCTTGCCCTCAACGAGGCCCTCACCGGTGCCATCGGCCTCAACTGTGACTCGGTCCCCTTCCTGATCGGTGTCACCGTCCAGGACCAGTGCAAGAACACCCCCGTCTGCTGCGAGGGCTCCGCCAACAACGGTCTCATCCAGACCTCGTGCACTGCCCTCCCCATCGTCTAAGCGTCGGGCTAGGTCGACTCCTTTTGGCACCGGGCATTTTGCTATTGGGGGGTTTGCTTCGGCCACACTTTGGGATCCCACCGCCGGATGGCGAGGCCTTGAGTGCGAAGTGACCCTTTTTTAGAACACGGACCTTCACCAATCCCTATCCCCCATCCCCCAATCCCCCTTCCCCCATTTCCCCTATCCCCCCTTCCCCCTCATCCCCATCCTCCCTTCCCCCGCATCGCATCCTCATCTGTCATCATCATCATTCCCCTCTAATCCACATCCCCCAAACACCCACAAACAACCGTCTGAGCCTGTGTCCGCGAATGTTCCTGATCTCGACGGAGCTGCTCGGACCTTTCGATTTTCGCGGTCGCCAGCAGCCTCTTTGGGTACAACGAACGCACCCGTTTACCAACTTCTCTATAAGCTCACTTCTCTTTGCTATGTCCGCCATCTGTTCTTGACGGTCCTCTTCAGTGTTCGTGTGGCACAAGACGTTATCCGAAGATATGCCCGCCTTCTGCGATGCATCTGACTTGTTTATTGGCCCGGTTCGTTGTTAGAGCACCTTCCGCATAGGAATAGATCTTCAGACGCCTTCCAAATGTGGTCTTTGTCGCGGCTGGCCATCGGTGTCGCCACAGAGTAGTCAGGGCAAGTCGGACGTCCCCGGGCGTGCCAGGATTTATTTCTCGCGCGGGTGGTGGGGCCAGGCAGGGGCATTTTTGACGGCTCCGAGGGTTGGCGCGTTGGCGGCGAGGGGGCGCTGGGACGTCACAGACCGACGGATCGCAGCGCCGCCTGTCTTTCAGGGTGGACCCCGCTGCCGGCTCCCCACTCCACTCTCCGTCCCTTCCTTCCTACGCTTCGCTCCCCGCTCCATTTCACCTTGGCCCCCACCACCGTTCCCCTACCTGACGTTTACCTCTCGCATCACCATTCCGTCCTTTTCAGAGAAAGGCTTCGACATGGTCGCTTCCATCGTGAGTTCCACCTCCACCCTGGCCCACGCCACTCCGCCCGGCACTCTTCTCGAGTTCCTCGCCTGGGCCCGACCCGATGTGCTCACCAGCCTCTCTTCTCCTCGCGCTTCGCTGTGATCGCTTTGGTATCGCGATGCTGCAGCTCGGCCAGACGCTCCTTCGGGCCGCTCCGCTTGCCGGCGCTGGTGCACTGCTGGTCTCCAGCACGACAAAGCTCCACGCCGAAGAGGCGCCCGCACCCTCGTCGCAAAAGGTGAGATCATACCCTGGCTGCGCTCTTCCCATCCATGCCCTTGCTCCTACTCACCAAGCCTCTTTCGCTTCCTCTCGAACACATCAACACTGCTTTCGCCCCGCCACTGCAGCTCCCCATCTACCCGCTCCCCGAGCCCGAGGTCAAGCTGGTACCCACCCAGACTGAGCTGGAACGACAGATTGGCAGTGCGCGACGGGGCCTTCAGGGCGCGACAAAGGAGACGAGAGAGGCCCTCTCTGGCTCCATTGAGAAGTGGATCGGCGTCGAGAGGAAGATTGAGAGTGAGTGTGCTGCCGATGCACTCCGGCTGGCACGTCGGCGCATCCCACGCCGTCCACCCAGAGGTCATGCTGAACCCGCCTTCACCCCTGCCGATGCAACCGAAACAGAGGAGGTCAAGTCGCTCGTGCCCGCCGACGAGCCTCTCACACCAGGCCTCCTCTACGTCGGTGTGGCTACCTTGACTGGCTCGGTCTTTACTCGATTCCGTAAGTCGTCCCGGCGCTCATTTGCCTGCATATCGTCGGCGAGGAACGACTCGCTGATCTGAACCCCTCGCTCGCACACGTCCCTTCGCTACGGTGGACGCGCAAAGGCTCGTTCCCGATCCGGTTCATCACACCACCCCTCTTCCTGGTGGCCTCGCTCAACTACTTCCAGCCCAAGCTCGCGACCAACCTGTCGTCGTACTACGTCGAGCTGGAAAAGGCCCACGCGCCGGCGCTCACCGAGCAGCGCGAGTCGCTCGTCTCGGCGTTCCGCAGCTCGATCCAGTCGGCCAGCCACAAGGTCGAGGAGGCGAAATCGGGCGCAGAGCGCGGCCTCCGCTCCGGCCTCTCGGAAGTCGAAAAGTCGACCGGCCTCAAGGTCGGCGACGTCCTCGGTTCCGCAGAGGTCAAGGCCAAGGAGGCCAAGATCAAGATGCAGGACCAGATGAGGGCCGTCTGATCCATCCCCGGCGCATCTTGCGCGCGAGGATCGACCGACGGCGGTGCAGAGGCAATCAACTACGCCCTTTCTTTGGACAAGCGCCGTCATCGTCGCGGGCGAGAGCGTGAGGGAGCAAGTGCGATGGGTCTAGGTGACACGAGGAAGAGAGAGGGGCATAAATTACAACCGGACGCACGGCACCGACGAGGGAGGCCACCTTCCCCCCTCTCCCTGCCTCTCCAGCTGGGCAAGGTAACCAGACAATGCCACGCCAGCATTGCAGCGGCAAAAGCCAACCCTCAGAAGAGGGTGCTGACGGCCTCCTCGGTCTGTTGGAGGCGCTGACGGACCTCGGCGAGCTCGCACTCGAGCTGGCGGATCCGCTCGTCCTGCTTGTGCGTCCGGCTCTCGAGGAGGTCGTTTTCCTCGCGCGTCGCCTTGAGCACCTCGGCGTCGGACACGGCCTTGGCCGCCTCGAGGCGCGCGCGGATCTGCGACGCCCGCGTCTCGGCGTTGGTGCTGGGATCGCGCAGGCTCTCGATGGCGCACAGAGGCGGGCCGGCGCAGCTGTAGCTGGATCTGGGCGCAGGGTTCCGAGGGCAGGCATGTGCAGCCAGCGAGACGTCAGGATCATCGCGCCGCCTACTCGAGAAGGGGCCGCTGCCGCCGCTTGCACTCACCCGGTGGTACCGGAGCCTGGGATCGATGAAGGCGTCCAGATGGATCCGTTGACGAACTCGGAGAGGTCGGAGAGCAGGTACGAGATAGCCTGGTCCTCGGACTCGGTCTCACCTGCTTCCAATCGAGGCGGGGGAAGCAGGGACAAACTCGTCAGCCCCATCGCGCCAGGAGCAAAGCTGCTCGTTGGGCCATAGACAGAGGAAGACTCACCTGCCTCGTTGCGCGTCAGCATCGCATTGACGCGCACCTCTGGGCCCTCGTTTGCGACGGCGACGTCGCGGACCAGCCCAAACATCGCCTGCCTGTACATGCCTCCGAACATGGGCGCCTCGTCGTTGGGCGCGGCGCATGCGGGCGGCTCGAAGACGATGTTGAGCACCGAGGTGCCATAGCTGCTCTGCGTGCCCGACGTCCGCGTGTCGTCGGCGTCGAGGGCGTCCATCTCTCCGCCCCTGCGCCGCGAGAGGGCACGCAGCGCCGTCGTCTGGATGCGCAGCACGCGGGGCAGGCGGAAGAGGACGTCCTGGAGCGTGCAGACGTCGGCATCGCCGCGCTCCAGGCTGCCGCTGGCGCCGGCGCTCAGGTCCGGTCGGTAGGCATTGACGATGCAGTCGAGCCCATCAAAGGCCACGGTGCACGCTGTCAGGGCAGCCTCGATGCTTGCGATCGAGTCGAGGCTGGCCTCGACAGCCAGAGTCTTCACGCTCAGATCCGGCGCCGACAAGTCGTCCAGCACGGTCTGGGCCAGTGCGTAGGACGGGCAAGCGATGGCGACGGCAGACGCCCCGCGCCGCACCATCCCGACCACGATGCTCGAGAGATAGCTGGGATCGGTGCCAAACACCAGGATGACCTTGTGCTCGAGCAGCGGCAGCTTCGACACCGAGTCCGGCACGCCCTCCATGCTGGACTGCGTGACCCTGACGCGGTGCGCTGGGCAGGGCGAGAAGAAGTGCGGAGCTGCTCCGTCAATGCCTCGCGCGTGCGACGACGACGACGACGATGACCTCGACTTTCGGCGCGCAGACGACAGCAGGGGCGAGAGCAGGCCCAGCTTGGCAAAGTTGCCAAACGTCGGCGGCTCGCTGAAGAGCGTAGTCGGCGGACGCGACGAGCCGGGCGAGGCGGGGACGTGGAAGAGGACCTCGACCTCGGTGCTGCCCCTCTTGCTGCTCCGCATCGAGACACGCCGTGTCATGCGATCTGAGAGATCTGCGCCGGCTGCGACCGGAGGCGAAGACACGCCGAGCTCCGAAGTGTCCGCATCGTGGATCTCGAACGAGGGCATCGAGGGATAGCCGTTCGCTCCAAAGGCCTTGACCGACGACTGCGAGCCCGACTGCGACAGCGAGGCTCCCCCAACGTCGTCACCGTCTGCCAGGCTGATGTCGCCCATGCCATCGGCACCTAGCTGACCTTGCTGATCGGCCACGCGTTCTTCCTGGGTGGCCACGGCTGAGGCGAGGAGGAACTCAAGATGGGCCGATAGCGACCTCTCCTCGGCGAGGAGCCGCCTCACCTTTGCCAGTTGGTACTGGTCGTTGGCCTTGACCTGCTCTGCCTCTTCCTCCCACAGCGCCCGTTCGCGCTCGAGCTGCTCCTTGCTGGCCTGTTGCAGCAGCCTGAGGTCATCCTCCCGCAGAACGATCTGCTCGGAGAGGGTGCCCAGCTGAATCCGCAGCTGCTTGTTCTCATCCTCGAGGTCTTCGACGGTGTCCTGCGTCACGTCCAGGCGCGATCGGAGCGATTGGGCCTCAGCCAGCTGCTCCCTCCAGCCCTCCTCGAGCTTCAGTCCCACCTCGCGCAGCTTGCTGACACTGCTGTCGGTGCGCAGCACGTGCTTGGCCTCGGCGCATTTGATGATGAGCTCGGCCAGCCTGTCCTCGTCCACCGCCCGTCTCGGTAGGCGCACCCGCAGCTCATCGTCGTCGTCGTTGGTCTCGACCTGGTCGTGCTTGGTCTTCTGCGCCTTGAAACCCGAGGCGAAGCCGCTCAGCTGCTGCGAGAACTTGGCAAAGGTCGGCTGCCGCTTCAGAGGCTGCGCAGGTTGGGGCGGCGGCGTCGAACTCTGCGCGACGACCGGTGTGGCCTGTTGCGACGGCGAGGCGACGGAATGCTCGTCGATAGACGTGTTGGCGGCCGATCCTGCTTCCATCGAGGTCGAGGAGACACTTTGAGACCGCAGAAAGCCCCACACGCCTCTCTTCGGCTTGTCCGGGGTCTGTGCGGCCTTGATGTCGGACGACGAGGTGCTAGGGGCTTCTTGCTCGACGGAGGGCGCGTTGCCTCTATCTTCGTCTGCTTGTGCCGTTAGCGGCTGGGGTAGTGCGGCTGCCTCTGGCTCCGCCTCCGCCGTCTCGTCTTCGATGCTTTCCGTGGTCTGGACCCCGACGAGCGAGACCAGAGAGCTCGATGGAGCGACCTTCCACTCTGCCTTGTTCTTGCCGTCCCCACTGGAACGCGAATGACTCCTCGAGTGGGAAGAGGCCAGAACTCTCTTTGACTCGGCACCCTCTGCGTCGAGCGAGACAGGCTGCGTGTCGAGCTCTGGCGAGGACTGAGCGCTGCCGCCGATGGTATCTCCCAGGTCCGCCATGAGTCCTTTGACCGAGGCGAACGGATCCTCGGACGACTCGCCTGCTGAGCCGGGGGCAAGGTTGAAGATGCCCAGACCGGTGCCGACCGAGGCGGGCAGCGTCGGATGAGCTTCATTCTTCGGTAGGTGGACTCGTTTGGGCGTCTCGCCGAGGTCCATGTGGGATCGAGGACGCGAGGGTGAGCGCACTGGGGCGGTACGAGCTAGGGAGCTGTCAATCGACTTGGCGTGGGTCGGCGAGACGAGGCTCGAAGCATAGGCCTCGAGGTCGCTGGTCGCATCCGTGTCCTCTCCGGTCAAGCCGGTGTCGCTCGGCGAGGACTGTATGGCCGCAGAAGCGTTCGTGGCGGTCGACCTCTGGCTACGTGCTTGCCTCATCTGTGACTTGAAGTCTGTCCCTGCTGAGGAGCTTGAGCCGGACCTCGACATAGAGGAGACTGTGCTCGATGGTGAGGAGGCGCTCGGAGCCGTGGCGCTGCTTGGTCGGCGGCTGACCGCGGCTCGTCTGTTGAGGCTGCCGCTCGACAACGACGGCGAGATGGTGTCTTGCGCCGAGGACATGTGTGCGTTGGAGCGCGGGCTGTTCCTGCCCGGCGAGGATGAGCTGGCTCGTTTGGCTGCCAGCTTCTGGCTTGCCGAGAGTCGGTGCTGGTTGGGGAGCGCAGTCAGACCAGACTTGGCGGTCGACTCGGGGCTTGCCACTGCTGGTGTCCTGTTGCCGATCGCGCGAAAGGGGGATCTCGGAGGGGGCACCTGCCCGTTGAGTGTCGGCATGTCGAAGGCGTGTATGGACGAGCAAAGGCGGGGTGGCCTGATGCGGGCGCCTAGAGAGTATGGCGATGTCTCAAGGGCAAGAAGCAGCGACGGCAAGAGTAGTGGGACTTGCGCCGTGAGCGCCGTTGAGCCGACGAGGTGGGGCCGAGGACGGAAGTGGGTCAGGAGAGCAGCCAGGCAACGGAGCCCCTTTGGCCCGGAAAGGTGGGCGAGGAACCGAGCTGTGCTTCGGACCGCTGCTTGAGTGGTTGTGACGGCCACCGTGCCGGAGTGCGAGAACGATATCAAGGTCGGGCGCAGAGGTTCAAAGGTTGCAAGTGAGGGCAGAGAGGAGACGAGGCAGAGTGAGGGCAGATCGAGGTCCAGAGGGAAGGGATGAGGTGATGAACCGTCCATCCATGGGACCGTCGAGGTCGAGGACGAGGTCGAGGACAGCCCGTGTGGCTCATGCGAGGGGGTCAAGTCTACAATCTGGCAGTCGAAGAGGGGGGCCGACCTCCGAACGGCCACTGAAGGCCGATACGAAGCCGCAGCCTGGCCGTCGAAGATGGCCGAAGGTAGGTTCGGCACCTCTTTCGACTGCAAAGATGACACGGCAAGAGGCCGCCATTGTCAGTGGTTTCACAGACAAGGGGGGACGCCCTCGACTAGATGGCCCACTATCGGCGGCAGTAGCAGGCTCCTAGAGTCGCTCCTCTGCGCCGTACTTTGCCCGCTGGCCAGCTAGAGCTCCACTGGCTCTCATTCTCAACATCATTGTTGGCGCCGACGCCGGGATGGTTGTACAGGTACATAGCTACAGCGGGCGCAGACCTAGACGACGATTGACGTCGCCCGACTGGGAGAGGGCCGGTTGTTCGACGAGGCGGGACGAGTGAGAAGAGGCTTTGCCATTGACATTCGGCGGAGAGGTAGGAGCGGAGCGAGAATGACGGCGGTCCGTTAGGCCTGCCTGCAGACTGTCGGTGGCGACTGGCCAAACCCACCAGCTCCGCCGTCCCGGGTCGGGAACGGGCATGCGTCGATCGTTTGCTTCCAAGGAAGACCCCCTCGTCCTGCTCATGCCGAATACAGACCGTGCCGCGAGCGGCAACGACACCGTCCAGGTGTTTGACTCGCTCGAACGCATTCCAAAGAGGGGGCGACAATCTCGACCTACTGCAAGGAGGCCAGAGATGGTAGGAAGGTAGTGCATCGCCTGGCCCGTCGTGTATCTAGCCGGCCAGCAATGTGGAGATCAACACTCCAACACGACGAGGCCCTGAGGCGCGCCTGCGAAGAGAGGGCCCGCCTCGACATGATTACCGCACGACTGCCATTTTCGCAAGGGTTTTCCAAACGCTTAAGCCATCGCTAGCTGCTGCTCTCCACGAAAAGCTCGCCCGACCAGGCCATCAGTGGCCGTCAGCAACCAACGGCCTGACGGTACTGACCGTAGATCGAGAGGCCGACCTAGCAGCGGGTCTAGCTGCCCGCGCCTCCGCCGAATCGCTGCTGAGCGAGCTGATCCGGCGTATCAGGGGTGGGCGGGGCCATGCAGAACCAAGAAGGTCAGCAAAGAGCTCAGGCCCGGCCCGTCGAGCGACACCGTCCTCACCTGCTTGAACATGGCCATCGTATCCTGCTCCTTGGACCGCATCGCCGCCACACGCTCAGTCATCTCGGCCTGCCTCTCCTGTCGGCGCTCTTGTCTTGCCTGTTCGCGACGGCTGGTGCCACCGCTCTTGCCCTGCAGCCTGTGGGCGCACAACGTCAGCGAAGAGCAAGGACATCCGGAGAGCAGCGTCAGCCTATGCACACCGAGCGCCGGATCAGCAAGCAGACAAGGCATGCCAAGGCGCTGCACTCACGCTGCACCGTAATCGTCGCCCCCCATGAGCGTGGCGTCGTCCAGCTCGAGTCCATCGTCGTCCTTGCGGTTGGCGAAATCGCGGTTGGCGGCATTGCGCTCTCGCCTCTTTTCAATCAAGGCATCGCGACCCGTGGCGCGCGGCGCCAGCTCCTCGGCCAGATCTCGGGCGTCGCGATTCACCCTGCGCCTCTTGGCCGCCTCCTCGCGCTGCTTCGCCTCTTCGACCGCCTCTCGCTCG